CTGTAGATGAATGTGTGGATTCTACGTTGGTTTCACTTTTCGTTAAACAAGAAGAAAATATAAAACAGGAAAATTGCAATATACAATGCAAAGCTGTAAATTTGAAGCGTAAGCCTTCTGAGAATTCTTTGACGAAAATGGAGCCTGAAGAAGCTACAAATGGAGGGGTAACTACTCGTCAGAATTATTCAGGCACGAAGAAACAGTCCACCAGTCAAACGTTTTATGAGTGTAGCATATGTATGAAGCTTTTTAGATCAAAGAACTTGTTTGAAGGTCATTTGGTGGCGCATAGCGACGCCCGACCCTATCAATGTGACGTCTGCGGCAAATCTTTCAAGAGAACTAATACTTTAGCGGTACACAAGCGAATCCACACTCACGAGAAAAACTTTGTCTGCGACGTATGCGGCCGTGCGTTCGTACAGGCCTCTCAGTTGGCCACTCACCACAGACGTCACTTCGAGAAGTACGCGAGGCACTGCGACATCTGCAACAAGGGTTTTTTCACGAACGCCGAGCTCCACGGGCACATGAACGTGAAGCACGGCGCCAAGGAGCACGTGTGTGCCGCCTGCAACAAGTCGTTTCCCAACAATCACAGCCTGGTGCGCCACTTGAAGATCCACGATCCGAACTTCAAACCGGTGAAACACCAGTGCGAGTTCTGCGGCAAGATATTCGCCTACAAGAATTCGTTGGTGGTCCACGTCAAGTCGCACACCGGCGAGAACAAATACGACTGCCATCTGTGCGGCAAATCCGTCTCGTCCAAGGGATCCCTCCAGGATCATCTGCGTCTCCATGGTGGGGAGAAGTCCCTGGTCTGCGACGTTTGCGGCAAGGCTTTTCACAAGCGAACGACATTGGTCGTGCATAAGAGGACCCACACCGGCGAGAAGCCGTATTCGTGCGACACTTGCGGAAAATCTTTCACGCAACACTCGACCCTTGTTATACATAAACGGTACCACACCGGCCAGAGACCGTATCACTGTAATTATTGCAGCAAGTCGTTTGTATCGAGGGGATTGCTTAACGCACACAATAAAATACACATGGTTAACGTGATGGTGATGCAGCCCGCGTAGTTATACGACTTGAATTAATTTCTATTATACTGTGTCAATTACATCTCGTGTTCAAGACACTTTTGTGCAGTGACACTGTCGGACTTTGGATCCAAGCGGCGAAACAAGGTGGGACGCTATTAATCGAACGCTGCCACTTTGTATTTTGACGATGCTCGTCCGCAGTGCTATACAATTCAAATATTTTGATTTCAATTAATACTTTCGGCAAGGGAAACTCGTAATACTATTATAGCTGTGGTATTTGTAATTTTTTTATGTTGAAAGCTTGAAATATTGATTTATTTTTATTGTTTTTAACTGAAATGCTATCCACAATGTATAAAATGAATTCTTTTTTTTATACCAAATGTATGTACAAAATCCTTTTTTATCATTTTAACGTGAACGTTTTCGCTTCAATAAACATATTAAGTGAATTATCGTTGAGAAGGTAATATGCATATGTGATTAAACGAACAAAATTGTATAGCAATGTCGATGGAATAACAAACCAAAATGTAAGGTGATAAGATATATGTAATATCATTTATCTTGTACACGGATTGCAGTAAGAACTGTAATTAATTTTTTACCAGTTGGATAACTTCCTGCATTTGTGTATTATTGTAATAAATAAAAGTGCTCTACTCAGAACTATATGATTATTAAACGCTACTTTATCGTGTCGTTTTTTTTCACACATTTGAAGTGTCTCTATATTATACATAAACTATAATGCAAGATGATTCTGATTATCCTTTAATCAAATTATCTAATTTGTCACACAATTGACGTGAAGCTGTAAGTTTACGCAAGTTCGGCAATTTTACAGGAGTAGAAATAATTTGCTAGACAACGAGACCAGACAATGAAAGAAAGACCGTTGCGATGTAACAAGGATATTCGATACTGATATCCCCCTGAATTTTTCCATTTCAGGTACAACCAGCTACAGTTTCCTGAAGACTATTACCCGATGTTCTCTAAACTTGATCTGGTGAAGAAGAACGGCGAACCCGCGAAGTCCCCGTCGAAGTGTCCGGAAGCGGCGGCGGACACAACTGACGAGACAGCAGCTTCAACAAATCCTGAACAAGACATAAAGCAGGAAGTAAATGAGGAAGACGAGGAAGATCTTCCTTTGGCGTATCACTGTAAACTTTGCGGCGTCTTCTTTGCTTCGCAATCCTTGTTGGACAATCATGAGATCGAGCATAAAGGTAAGCGGAAGAACACGTGTTCCCAATGTGGTCGGGTCTTCAGAACCAGTGTCAACCTCCGCAAGCACATGAAGAATCATATGGTACGTAAAAGCGGTCGCAGAGGCAACTCGTCAGGAGTGGTTGGTCGTCCCGCGTCGCTTAAGAAGGTGAAGAAAGAGAAGCTCGAGTTGGAATTTCTCTGCAAGACTTGTAACAAGGTTTTTCGGCACAAAAGCAACTACCAGAAACATTTGTTGCGCCACACAGTAGGTGATCTCCCGTGCAAGCATTGCCCCAAGAAATTTCGGTTGTTTCGCGACTTGACGAGGCACGAGAAGACGCATTTTCTGCCGAGTTATGTGTGCAAGGAGTGCGATTACGAGACCACCGTTCTGGCAGCTTTGAGCATCCACATGACGCGACATATGGATAAGGCGGATCTGCCGTTTAAGTGCAATGAATGCGACAAGCGTTTCCGGAAGAAACTCGATCTCCAGGAGCATTATAACATTCACTCGGGCGAGAAGCCGTTTACCTGTCAGCTCTGCAACAACGCCTTCTACTTGAGACGGCAGCTCTCCGCGCATTGCAGACGCACGCATCCCGAGCTGAAGGCCAACAAGGTGACCAGCACCGCCTGCGACATTTGCGGCCGCGTACTTGCCACAAAGAGGTCGCTCTTCCGGCATAAGGAGAGCCACAATCCGACGAAGCTGTACCTCTGCGATTATTGCGGCAAGAGTCTCAGTAGCGCCGAGCATCTGAAGAAGCACAGGCGGATCCACACCGGGGAAAAGCCGTACGTTTGCGACATCTGCGGAAAGGGCTTCACCGATTCCGAAAATCTGAGAATGCACAGGAGGGTGCACACGGGGGAGAAGCCGTACAAGTGCGACCAGTGCCCGAAAGCGTTCTCACAGAGGTCGACGTTGACGATTCACAAACGCGGACACACCGGGGAACGGCCTTACGTCTGCCAGATATGCCATCGTGGATTCTCTTGCCAGGGCAACTTGACCGCCCACCAGAAATCTACGTGTGTCTAAGAACTTGAACGTTAATTAACTTGTGAATAGCTTGAGAATTTCTCGTTGGTGGCGCGATTCCCATCGACGATTACATGACGATTGAGTTGCGACGACCACATTTAACAATAAGAACAGTGCGATGATAGTACGTGCTTACGCGTTGTTATCCATGTATCGTAACAACGGAACAGACAGAAATTAAGACAAGTTCTTTGAGTTATTATAGATTATCAATCTACTACTACGTTGATGTTGGACAATGTCGACGAGGCGTCATACTCGTGATACTGTGCTCGATACTTGTCGATAAATCTCTACGATATCTTTTGTACACTGGTAACCGTTTGCGTAAACCGTGCGGCACTCTAGAGACAAGATTTAGACGCGCGACATTTGTCCGTTCGGTTCTTCATGAATTATATCTTTCATGAATTATACGGCTATACGTTTGTACTACCGTGCTCAAAGTGTTCCGTTACGAATATTGTTGTTCTATTTTTTCAGTGTAGATAAGTATAACTCTTAAGCCAATGTTGTTGAAAGACAATTCGTTTTCTCCCTCATTTTTTTTCTCTTTTCTTTTCTCGAGTTCCCTTTGACAAACGAACTGTCAGGTTTGTTTAAACGGATAATTGCATCGACAAATTTATGTTAATCGACATTATTGATATTCGTTATTATACGTTTAATAAAATAACTCGTACATCAAAAGGTGTTTGTGACTACGAAACTATCTTTGTCGATTAAATTTCGTTCCTTGATCTTGAAGCGGGGGAGCATCACTTTTTTCCCAACATCCATAAAAATTTGTTTAATTTTTGTGTCGTATATCCTCGTAAGAAACTTCGGACAATCAAGAGGTATCAATGAATTGTGTGTACGTTCATGTTGGCGATGTGACTGCATTTAACATGCTGAAAGGTTACTATTGTTGCTTACAGAATTCTGGAGGCCGGAGAGTTGATAGGACAACGTGTCAAGATTGAACGTAGCGAAGAAAAATCTCAGGGGTGTAACCGTATGCAGTTAGAGATAAATTTGAGTTCAACGATCAAAGACTTGGTGATCAAAGAGGAGGTGAAAGAGGAGATAATGATCGAAGACTTGGTGATCAAAGGGGAGATAATAACAGAGGAGATGTCTTTAAACTCTGCACATGTGAATTTAAAAGATACCTCGGTCAATGCCGAAAAGAGGAAAGTTGAGAGAAGTAAATGTGCGAGGTACGAATGTTTCGTGTGTCATACGACCTTTGCTCTGTACGGAACATACAAAAAGCATATGGTGAAGCATAGCGACGAACGTCCGTTCAAGTGTACGGTCTGCGAAAGAAGCTTTAAACGCATGTCGGAGATGAACAAACATATGCAGATCCACACTGGCGTCACGTACACCTGTGATCTGTGTGGCATGATCTTACAGAATAGAAGAGATTCATTGAAGGCCCACGTGCAACGAGTGCACAAGCGCAACTTTCGGCACAATTGCGAGCAGTGCGGCAAAGGATTCATGTCGAATGCTAAGCTCGAGGATCACAAGACGAAGCACCTAGGTGTTAAAACGTTCATTTGCGACGAGTGCGGCAAAGCTTACTTTCAGAAGTCGAACCTGGACGCACATAAGCGCGTGATGCACACGGTACAGAAGAAGCAGTATCAGTGCGACCTTTGCCGCAAGATGTTCGCGTCGGAACTTAATCTTCGTAATCACGCGAGTCTGCACTCGCAGACGTTCCTGTGCGCCCAGTGTGGCAAAAAGTTCTCAAGAAGTTACACGCTGAAGCAACATGAACGTACACAACACCGGTGAACGGCCCTACCAGTGCAAGTTGTGCCCGAAAGCTTTCGCGACAAGCCAGAATCTCAAGGTGCACAAGGCTGTTCACATGCGTGTTAAACCGTACGAATGCGATTTGTGCGGACAAACTTTTAAGTACCATTCCAGCATGAAAAACCACAGTCGCAAATGGTGTTTATCCCAACGTCAGTGTTCATCCGTCGTCACCACTGTTCCTGCTCCAGTCAACTTGGATTGATTCGAAAGCCGAATTAGTAGGGTACGATATACTTATGAATTCGTTGGAATGGCGAGGTGGAGAAATAATGGTTGGAATTGCTAAAATAATTATTTATACAGACACTATAGCCAGTGTTAACAAAAATATGTAAACATCTTAAAAATATTATAAGTAAAACGAAGCTAATATAATTTTGTTTTTATCCTTACATACTTAAGCAATAGTTGCTTAATCTTTGGAAAGATTGTAAAATTGTCCAATACCAATAATACGAGACGTATCGGCCAAATGATTTTACTACTAATGTTCTACTGAATATTACCACTGATTATTGAAGACTCTTGATTTTTTACACAATTGTGGTAGACGCTGCACCTCTTGCGTTTGTACTGATTGAAATTAATGGATGTTTCAGGGGACGGTGGACCACAGTGCGGGATGGTGATATATGTCGAAAAGTGATTCTAATGAATGATGACGTGGTAGAAAGTACTACGAAAAAAAGTGTGAGGAAACGTCGTAGCTCAGCAGAAAGAGACAGAATACGACAACGGAAAAAGAAAAGCTTCAGCAGAAAAGAAGAACTTTGTACAGAAAGAAAAGCAGACGGATATTTATCGGATGAGGAAGAAATTAAATCAGTAGAAATGTCGCTGTTTGAAGACACTTCACAAGACGGGGAGAACAAAGATGTGGATCGAGTATTGGACGAGGTGCGGACCGCGTGTCCGTTTTGTTTAAAGCACTTCGAACATGAGAAACATCTGAAAAGACACATCGGTGCGAGTCATCAGAAAAGAGCGTACAAGTGCGACAAATGCCGCGCGTCTTTCCACACCAAGCAAAACTTGGAAAAGCATCGTAAGAGTCACAGCGACGATTATTTCTTCGAGTGCGAAATATGTCACTTGAAGTACAAACGTAAGATAACGTTGAAGCAACATCAAGTGCGAGCGCATAGTGATGCCGCTGCTGAGTTTATTTGCGATTTCTGCGGTCTGTCGTTCAAGGTGAAAGTAGATCTTCTTGTGCACATCAAGAGAAAGCACAACACCGATATTCATATATGCCGATACTGCGGAAAGTCCGTGACGGATCTTCACAGTCACGAGTGGAAGCATAAGAAGCGAGCCGAGATGGCTAGCTTAAAATTTTCGTGTCATCTGTGTATCAAGAAATTCCAGAACCAAACTCGGCTTGACAATCATTTATTGCTACACAAGCAAGGTTACAAATGTACTCAGTGTAATGTAATTGCCACTTCGTCGAGAAAACTGGAGTATCACAAGAATCGGGTACACAAGCCGGGCACGACTTGTCCAATTTGTAAGAAAATATTCGTATCAAGGGGTAACAAGTTCTATCAACATGTTCTTACACACGGCGGTATCAGGCCGTATAAGTGCGATATTTGCGGCGAAGACTTTACTCAACGATCCAGTCTCTTTCGGCACCGAAAAAATCATTCTGGTCCCCTCCCGCCCTACACGTCGCAAGTTCCCATTGCCGGTCTAGCTAAAAATATTTTAGAGAAGCTCTTCAAACTACAATAAATGGCTTATTAGGAAATACAAGCTAACGCATTGTTATCTAAACAAAAGGCATCCTTGATCTACAGGTTTATAATAACAATTTTGGAAAACACTCTCCTAAAAAACTATTATTTACTAGTAGCTTGTAAAAATATCAGAATATTATGAAGATATTTAGTTGGTTTATATTCTTACATTCTTGCTATAAAGCAATATTCTTAAACTCTTTCGCTGATCATTTTTCTCTCTGTGCGGCAAACGTTTACTTTTATTTTTGTTCTCTAATTATAGTTTATTTTATTATTAATGAATATATCATATATATATTCATTAATAAATATGAAAAATACCTCATTCTAGAGAGATACTCTGATATTACACGTATGCCAGAAAAAACTCAATTTGAAATGAAACAAAGATGTTTTTACGGCGACCTCTATAAGCTTACAAAAGACTGATATATTTTGTAATAGATAATAAAACAATTATTTCCAATTATTTAAAGTATCCCGCATGTACAAACATATTTCTCATATGGACACAGAATATAAGTATTTAGTATAAAAATCCGAATTTATTTGTAATAGCTAAAGTGAATATGTGATGATAATATATTGTTAATAATGAAATATACATAAGCGTAAAATTCCGAATTATATCATTTGGATATAATTATTTGTAACTATACAGACGCCAATAAATAAACAAGATTGTATTTTTACCAGATTCAGTGGAATTTAATTGTATAAGATTTGTGTGTAATGTCGCGTCGCAATTGACTTTATTTTGCGAAAAAGTATTTACATTGTTTTACAGTTTTTAAAGTAAATTGCCTTTTTCTTATGTTCGAAGTAAATTTACCTTGTTCTTATGTTGATTGACGACAAGCTTTTTATTATTGAAATAATATTAATGAATATTTTTTTCAGACTGGTTATATTTCTGGATGTAATGTTTAAAATGCAGTATTGATACTTCATACGCTGATAAGTGCATGTAAAATTTTTCTATAAAAGATATTGATAAAAATATGCCTAATTTTCTAATATTATTTGTATGAAAATATTCTAACAGTTAATAAAATTGACAGCAGTCAAAGTGTAATAATAGTGAGATAAATTTTTTTACAGTGTATGGTTAAGGATGTCTCTATCTTATGTTGAATTACTTGGCTATCTATTATTTGATTATATGTTTAAAATGCAGTATTGATACTTCATACGCTGACAAGATTTATCCCTGTTTCAGGGAAAAACCTATCATCAGGAAAGGAGGGCAATGTCGAAAAGGACCTCCCTGTTTTCTCTCCATTTTGTTGGGCTCATGGAAATCTGTGCAAAGTGAACATAGTTCTATGAAGACAAGTGGTAAACTTAAACCCGTTACAATACAGTGTCGAAGAATAAATCGACCGATTAATGTAGATTTGCCATTAGAATCGCAGAATTCATCAGTAAAGACTACCGAGGATACCAATATTTTAATTCAGAAGGTTCAACCTTCGTTGAACGCGAAATTACAAGTTTCCGGTTCTCCAAATTCACATAAAGAAACCACCGAAATAGACGAAGTTATGGAAAAGATAAGAAATACGTGTCCATTTTGCGAGAAGCAGTTTAACAATACAAGAGAGGTAGAGCGACATGTGAGATACATGCATCGCCAACCATATCAATGTGACAAGTGTAAGAAACGTTGTTACACGTCAAGAGCGTTGGAGGAGCACAAGAAGATACACCAGCCAGACTATTTCTTCGAGTGCGATATCTGTAATGTGAAATACAAAAGTGAAGACGGATTGAAAAGACACTGCATTCGCATCCACAGCAGTCAAGAGCCGAGATTTGTTTGTGAGCACTGTGGTCGCGGTTACAAACTGAAGATTGATCTGACTCACCATATGAAGAGAATCCATACGTTAGAACTGCAAATCTGCCGGTTCTGCGGCAAGAAGGTCAAGGATGTCAAGCGTCACGAATGGCGACATCAGAATAAAAATCGCGAGATCAAGTATGAATATTCATGTCACTTGTGCCGCAAGAAGTTCCACCACAGAAGCAGACTGGACAACCATCTGCTATTGCATAAAAAGGGTTTCAAGTGCGAGGATTGTGGCAAGGAGTACAGCGGCACTCGCGAACTCATGAGCCACAAACGTTTCAAGCACGGTCAGACAAATATCTCCACTTGTATTCTGTGCCATAAAACGTTTCTGTCCCCTAGCAATTTCTACCAGCATGTGCTTACCCATGCCAGTATACGGCCGTACAAATGCGACGTCTGCGAGAAGGATTTCACGCAACGCTCTAGTCTGCTAAGGCATAGAAAGCATCATCCTGGACCACTGCCACCATTATTATCGTCGCATCCGCAGATAGCTGATCTCGCTAGAAATTACCTTGAAAAGTTTCAAAGTGACCACATCGACAAGAGCTTCGTATTGAACGCGCGATCGATCGATAATCGTTAACAAATGACTGTAAAATGACATTTTACTGGACTCCCGTGGAGTGATTAAAGAAATGTATAGAAAAAATTCATATTAGAATACCATGATTCATACATATAAGTTTTCAATTGTACCTTGTATATGAGAAAATTACATGATGACGTCAGTTGTACTTTTATCTGTTTAAGAGAAAAGTGATAAATGTGCATATTTATTTAAAAAAAAAGTTTTTTACATAATTATTCTCTTTAAAAAATATATATTTTATTTGACATATATATTCTGTGTAAAATGAAGTGTTATTATGTACATCAGAAAAATTTACATTTATTTTATTGCCTAAATTTACTTTTTATGTATACGATTGTGCCAAACCGTGATTAGAAATAATCGGTAAGAATTTCTGTTTGATTTGAATTTTACTTGGCGCGAGATACTATCATATCTTTCTCTCTCTTGATTAAATTATAAAATTTGATAAAAAATTGTTACAAATGCGTGTGCACATAACGATTTGACAAGTATACAAACTACAAATAAAATCATATGTTAAAAATATTATATTTAATTATGATTTAAAAATAGAACATTTTTGTTAATTTAAGTTATAAGTTTTATTTAAATAGATTGTTGCCTTAAAATAAATTGTAGAGCAACTACATAATTGAATCTGTTTGATAAATACAATTTGCACTATTTTATAACGAGTTTGATGTATGTAATTATATTGATTGCACAAGAATATATTTACGATTTGCTAATTTGTATTTTTAGTTTAAATGGCCATAGGTTTTTGTTTTTCTTCCACTAAAAGTATTGTAATAGAAAAAATTAAAGATATAATTATATAAATTATTTTGCGCACTTATTAAATTTTTCAGTGTTTCAGGGTTCAATGGATTACTATGTGAGACAGTTGTGTCTATACATATATCAAAGATTACGCATCATGTTACGATGACAGTCCAAAGTGAGATTAAAGTTTAGCAAGCGATTAAAAAATATATATACAGGGTGTCTCATTTTAAATGATTTACGCAAATATCTCAAAAAATATGAAAGATACAGAAAAACGTTTCGAACAAAAGTTGTTTGGTTCGAAGGGGGACATAAAGTAGTGCCATTGACTTGACCTTGAATAGTCATGTGAAGGTCACCTTCAAATTTTTAAATGGGACCCCCTATTGTTTATTATACTATCTTGTTCTACTAATTAATATGAACAATAGGGGATTCCATTTAAAAAATTAAAGGTGACCTTTACGTAACCTTTAAATGACTATCCAAGGTCAAGTCAATGGCACCACCTTATGTCCC